AGTGATTCTTCGTTAGTCGATAAGATTTGCGCTATAAATTATCCGTAACGTAAACCGTAGCTCTTGGGTATAATATAAATAAGAAAATTAATACGGTAAAAGGAAGTTGCGTATTGAAGTAAATTGGTTTTCTTCTTTCTTTCTTTTCGTCGTCTGTTCTTTCTTTTCTTTTTTCACTTTTATCTCCTTCATAGCTTCTTATGCCTGACGGTCACAATGCAAACCAAACTCGGTTTGTAATGTGCCCGCGTTCGTACAATCGAGAGACGGAAGAACATGCGCGACGTGCGTGTAATTCGTGCCGCGCGCGAACGAACGGTATACGGAGCAAACGGCACGAATTATTCGCGCAGTACGCTCTCTAAGTAATCTGGACCGAAAATGCATGTCCGTTAATTCATTCCGTTTCTTTTAAATGCAACAATATCTATAATGCATTCTTTAAATATCGCATCATAATTTCTCGCGTCTCTCCTCGAGTTCTCGGATATATTATTAGTTTCATTTCTTATTTTCTTCTTTTCTTTTATATAACAAGTCATCGTTAAAACATTCCTCGCTACTTTCGTTTTATTATAGTTCAACAAACAGTTCATAGTTCTCCCCGTCTTTGTCGCGCGTCCACACGTTACACGCTGATAAGAAAGATTCGAGGCGGCCGAACAAATCCTTCGTAACGTTATCTCTGATCTACATCGGTCGAACCGAGAGTTTGTTTTCTTTCGGGGCAACGTATGGTTCACAGTAGACAATATTGCGTTATAGAATATAATAAAATACAATAACTAATAATTAACATATTCGTTTCTCTTTTTCCTTTTCTTTCTTTTGTTCATTCCCATTTCTGCTGGAGTGACTAGGATTTCTTCCATATCGGCATGACTCTATCTTACGCCTCGTCTATCTTCTCTCACGTTATTTTCCGATGAACAATGTCTCTACTTGCGTTTCAACTTCTGCGGGCTCGATACCACCTATATCACACACGTGAAAGTATACAGTTTTTACTACAGTCGTTAATTCGCAATTTAACGGGTATTTTAATAAGATATCTAAAAGTAATTTTGATGTGTCGTTCCTTCTTTTTCCTTTTTCCCTTTGCTTCAAGTTATGTTCAACGATGAAAAGTTACCGTAATGTATATAACGACAACACTATGGTACACTTTGTGGCGTTTCTTCCATTTGCTTCTCGCTATCTCTTCTACCGTTACAATAGCCGATCAATGATAAGGTTTACAATAATAAATTAGAGAGACAAATACAATGTTAGAAAAAACAAAACAGTATTAAAAGAATTTCATACTTGTGATTCGTTGAGTCGTTTAACAGACTGCAAAAACGCTTGGAAGTTACTATACTCTTTTTTTGTTTTGTGTCTGTTCAGGGTACCTGCTTTGGCTTCATAAACGACTAGATACAAAGCCGTAATTTCGATATTCCTCCCATAGCGATTTCCTTGCCGATAAACGAAGCAATTATCTGCACTAAACTCGAGCTCCTTAGAATAAAAATTTCACATGCCGATGAATTTTAACTATAGCTTAAATATACTTTTGTGATATTTTGACGACCTTCGGTTTCACGTATTGTATTCCTATTTATTTCTTGAACGTCAGTTGTAAAAATCGACCTTGAAACCCTGACGTAAGAAATGTTACAATGAACTATAGTTTGATTGTTAAAGTCGACCTGTACAACAATAATGCATGATAGATAATATATATATATACAAGTCTCTGGAGATGTTAAATATAGTTTCTAAGAATTAGAATTGTTTCGATGTACATATCTCTTTACATATGTAGTTCATTATCAAAATCATTGCAACTTCATAGAGTATTAAGCTGGAAAGGAATCTAATAATATTTCTAATACTCTTCCTCTTCACTTGTATTACAACTGACAGAACTATTCCAATTAATTTGGAATTATACCTGTACGTTTACATTTGTTCCATCATAAAAGTGCATGTCGCACGAAAGTCATTGCTAACTTAATATTACGCATAGTTTGAGTCGCACGACTTGGGCAGGGCAAACTAGGGCAAAGTGGATTATCCAAGTATTGTAATATATGAAACAATCGTTACAACTAAATTGTCAGCTTAGGATTTACGATTTTAATAAGCGCAATATATAAAGTAACAATACCTATAACTTATTTAGCAGTATCAATTACTATATATTTCATAATATTTATTAAAACAGCTTGAATAGACATCTGTCTAGTATTCTTTTTTTTATTTGGCAAATATCAGTTCTTCCAATTGAATAAATAATAGTATCAAACGAGAAAGGGACTATTTTTATAAATCTATTGTGCTTTATAGTATTATTTCCTTTGTACATACGGTGTACCTGCTTTGATAATTATACGTAACAATATTTTCAAAACAATCCCAGAATCTTTATTCTGCCCTTACCTGCCCTATCCACATGATTGTGCCTTACTTTCAGATAACACATTTAACTGATTCCATTTTTCGGAACATTCATATATGATTTTCATTCTTCTTTGGATATCAAATTCAAAATTGTTACATTATACATTTACAGTAACTAATCTGTTTAAATGTTTATCAATAGCAGATTTATCACAGTGGTACATTATTGTATTCCTCAAGTTGTATATTCCATCTGAAATCATTTTTCACACTTTCATTAATAATAATAATAAGTACAGTGTGACATTTCGTAAAATCGTTTGATTTGAAACTGATTCAGAACATATCTGACCTGAGTTAATCGTCCCACTCATCCTCATCACTGGTTTCACTAGTTGATTCATCACTTTCACTATGAATTGCATTTGATCGCTCAGCGAGAGCTCTTGACAAAGCACTAGCTAGTCCTCCTTCAAACACTGGAAGAGTCTTAGACTTTACTTCGTTTGAAACAGGCCTCAACTCAATTCCCTGACGAATTTGTTCCAATAAAGCATTTCTAGAATCTGGGGGTGGTGGAGGTGGTTTTGCTTCAGATTTATCAACTTTCTGCAATAAAAATTGATATTATAGCACAATTACGGACCTTAAAAGTAAGTGTCAACAACTTATTAAATAATATCAAGTACTAACTCTAAGTGTAGTGCCACTTCTGATTGATTCCATAAGCATTGATCTAGGATCAGCAATTTCTTCATTATTATTATTATTATTATTCCTATTATTATTATTATTATTATTATTTGTAGCACTTGTATTAACGATTTCTTCTTCAGTGTTCACTAAATTAGGCAGTGGTGGTGGAGGTGGAACAGGTGCGCTCGAATTACTTCTGGAAGGTGGAGCTGGAGCTGGTGGTGGTGGAGGTGGAGCTGGAGCTGGTGGTGGTGGAGGTGGAACTGGAGCTGGTGGAGGTGGAGGCGGAGGAGGTGGCAATGTCGGTGCCGATGTCGTTAAAGAAGGAGGCGGTGGTCTCGATGGTAATGTTCTATGTACTGGTGGCGCACTAGGTGGTGCACTTGGTGGTGTTGAAGGTGCATGAAGTCGACTTGGAGGTAGCGATGGAGCACTTCTCGTCTGATGCTATACAAATTTCATATGTTAACAGTATTTATCTTTTACAGTCAATTATAATATTATTAAAAGTATACCAACAGGTACTACTCGTGCAGGAACTGGCGGAGGAAATTCCTGTCTCTGAGGTGCTACTGGGGGTGGTGGTTGTTGTTGCAATTGCTGTACACTGGATGATGAAATATCTTCTCGAATGGCACTCATGCCTCCATTTTTCTCAATGAAATCATAAATAAAATTGCGTGTGTCCTGATTTCTGAACTGATGGTCTGACACACCTACTTTATCAAGAAACATTTTTAAATGTGGATCGACTGGATCCAATGTCTTATTATTACTGTTGAATGGCAGGTGTGTTAGATGTCTAAAAATATATGTAACATAAAAACATTTGACAATAAAAACTGAACTAGTAAAATTAAATTATTTTTATCAATTTCTAACCTAAAATTGGATGGTGGACCTATATCATCTTTTGTTAATTTCCGCTTGGCTTTGTCTCGCTTTTTCTTTTTAGTTTTGTACATAGAACTACTTGAAGCACTTCTATTTACACCGATTGTAGTTGGAGTTCCATTCGCTAAATTAGAAGTTGACCCAGTGCTAAATGCAACAGGTGATGTGCTGCTCTGATTCCTCCATGGTAATGTCGCTCCATGCTGGCCTTCTATTTCCATTTTAGACCGCCTTTGCTGTCTTTTCTGACGTTTTGCATTTAACTTATCAAGAAGGATATTTCTGAAAATAAATACCATTCCTTTCTTTTATGTTCACATTGTTTGTTTTAACATATAATCCTTATGTTTGATAACTTTCCGGAGAACATAATTACAACATATATTTTTGTATACCTTAATGTTACAGCATCTGTTTCACTTGCAAAATTAAATGCAGCCATATAGTCTTCAGCTTCAAATGTATGGAAATAAGTCAATGGTGCTTTATAGTCCATTGCATTGTACACTTCGTGTTCCCATAACATTGCTCTCCTTTGCAGACAATATAAACGAAGAAAGAAACTACGCCTAGGATTATCTCTTATCAGTGTTATAATACCTGTAGTTTTCTTTATCCATTCTTTATGTAAAGGTGGTTCAGTCAAATATAATTGAATAACTCCTGCTGCTAAACACTGTAAAAAATGGTAACATCAAAAACTTCATTTATTAATTATATTATTTATTATGTAAAGTTATTTCAATGCTTTACTTTTAGACTTCATGCTTGTTCTTATTATTAGCAGCATAAAATACTTATGCATTTAACAATATTATCTTCTCTATGATGCAAAGAAATTTGTTCAAATTGAAACTACATTTTTATCGATGAGAGCTTGTAGAATAATATACATTCTATGAACGATTATTAAATTGGAAATACTAAATATTGTAAACTATTAATATTCGTAAATTAACAAAAAAAACTCTTAATATTGTTAAATATATGAATATTTATTTAAAATAACAATAACAAACGAAATATCATAGCAATTTCTTCAAGAAAATATGATAATCCATCAATGGAAAATTTTTACATAGTTACAAATCCTTTGATGTCATTCAAATCGCTTATGACTAATATATAATTCTAAAGACATGACAACATTCTCATAGTAGACATACACATAAGAATTAATATTTAAAACGCACAATATACGAAATACAAACGTACTAAATACATACAAATTATTCAAAATTTTTTAAACATAATAACTACAGTTACAAAATATGATAATACTTCATTTTAACTGAATAAAAGGTTATTTGATCAAGTAATCCTATACATGGAATGTCTATTTGTTATTGACCATACAAATAAATTTTTACTGATCCATGACCATAAATATACATTCTTACACATGATGACTAATTCCATAATTCTAGTTTGAATCAATTCTGTTTTACAGCATTAAATATGTTGCTGAAAAAAAATCTCCTGACATAATGTTCTTAATGCAGTTATTAAGGAAACATTGAAAAAATCTTAGTCAATGTGAATTGAAACATGCCTACGGTATTAATAACGTCAAAGGTTCTCGTTAAAATAACGTCAAAATCGAGATGACAGTACGTGATAGTCCGTACCCATAGATCGACAAAATTTAGGTCAAAATCGGCGCGTTTGGGTGACAGTCTCGGCGATTAGAATTTATCGCGGAAATATTTCTCACCTGGCACCGATTCCCTATTAATTGGAAGACTTGCTCGTTTTCTTCCGATTTCAAAAGTGTCGAGCCTCTGTGTTTGTCCATGGTGCCTGACTTCATTTTTAAACAAGGTTAGGATCTTTGCGCTATCGCGCCGTGATATTCCTTGCTGCACGCTCTCTCGATCAATAAATTCGCTTTCATAATTTAACATGAACACGGTCCATTTTTATGCATTCTTACGTGCCGAGTGCACACGTCGACCGTGAAATCCGATGAATAAAACGGGCCAAACACCACCCACCAAAAGCTATTCCCAATACTATCTACACAGGAAACTCTACCAGTCGGTGATGACATTTTCATCTATCCGGTTCAATGTTCCGCGTTTCCTCATTCGATATATCTCCTCGCTCTTAAATCAGATTGGGCCTCGCAGAACCATCAAGTGTTACAACTTAACTGGGGATGTTCATACAAAACCGTATTTCCACAGACTATTCGATGAAAATTAGATCAAAGAATAATTTACTTCATTTGCTAAGAAGGTCATAAAATTTGAAATAATCACGAAGTTTCGTCGGTTCTTGGTAGTCTCACTTCTGCATATTCTGTCTTCAGATTTGTTATAAATGAATAAAAGTTATAATTTAGTGACACATATTCAATACCCGAAAATAAACTATTTTTATTACTGGATGAAAAAATATTTAAAACATTTTGTAATTTGTATTTCGTACGAAATTTTAGTTAATGTAAATAGAAAAAGTTCGGTGTAATTTCGTATTTAATCAATTTTAAATAAAATGCTATTCTGTAAAACGATATTCCGTTTAAACGTTATCTGTTTACAAACGAAAAATTTAAATGCGACGATGTACAAATTTTTAGACAATATAATACTCAGTTTTTCCATATTAATATTCGTATAAAAAATTAAAAATTACAACGATAACTGGTTTTAATCGTTAATCGCTGTTACTTTAATAATAAATAATTGATCGAATTCCTATGTACTGTTAACGTGCTTTATTAGTAAACGTTTGAAAATAGAATTTTATGCAAAATTTTATTTATAAACTTATACTGACATCATAAGATATGTGATATATAACTAATAAAAATTCCGATATAAAAATTTTGAATAATAAAGTTCATTTAATGGGAGTTTTCTTATATATTTTATTTACATTGAAGTACAATTGATGAGTACGTTAAAAAATTAATAGAATACCAACGATTATAATTTCCTATTCTCTCTAAGTTGTTTATTAATATCATTTAAAAGTATGAATGTACTAATTTATTTGATACAATAAAAATGTTCACAAGTCAATTTAAATTTTTCCCGCTTTTCGTTGTCCTTCGTTGTCGCTATAATCACACACTGCAAATGGCCACGGGTGCAACTCACGTAGTCTCGGAGATGCGATATCAAGCGGAATCTTGTTTCGTATGGAAAACAGAATCGTCAACGATGATAAGACAACAGTGATCGTTGTCACGGTTGGATTTCCACGACAGTAAAGTCACTCGCGATTTTCTGAGGGTCGCGCAATTGAGTTTTCCGCGGGAAAACAATGTCTGTATACCGAAGAGTGAATTACTACGAACTCTGCAGATTGTGTACGAGTAGCGAGGGTAACAAAATGAACATTTTTCGGGAGGAAGGCCGGAGGCGGCAACTTCAGTCGAAGATCCAAACGTGTTTACCTATTCAGGTGAGAATTTCCAAGACAGTGATTCTCCGTATCTAAAATTGTGCAAGAGGCGCAATTTTTTGTAAACGTTTACAATGTCATAAAGTGTTTAAAGTCATTATAGTTTTTATTGTTTAGACAGTTGCTCTACTATAAAGGGTAATAAGAATTTTTTCAATATGTTCAGGTTTTGGAGGAAGACTCCTTGCCAAAAATCGTTTGCCATGAATGCATTAAGAAGTTGGAGAATTTCATTGAGTTTAGAGAAACTGTTGTCAGTGCAGAGGGTATGCTAGAATCATACTTCACTTCATTACGATATTCTGAAGATTTTCTAAAAGAAGGTAAAGTTTATGTGAAAAGTACAGAGAAGGATAGACCAACAACACCAGAAAATGAAATGTTAAAGTCAATAGAAAAAGTATCACCTACTGCAGGAACTCAAATAGTTAATAATGATCAACCGATACAACATCAACAACCTGTTGTTGTCAGCAATATAAATGCTTCTAATATTCAAATTATCAGTGGAGTTCAAGCAAGAGTACAACAATATAAATGTGCCATGCAGGTTTGTAGGAATAATGTTAATAACAGACATAACGGCTGCTATGTTTAATATTATAAAATTGAACAAAGTTTATTACAATTGCAACAATAATAATGAATTTCAGATGCAACCTGGTGGTATGGCAGCTGCTGTTGTGGAAGCAACAGCAGAGACACATTATAGTTATCAACAACAGACTTCACAGCAATTATCACCTCAATCAAATGAAGCACAAAATCAAATTACAGAACAACATAGTCCGACCTCACAAATTCAACAAGTCCAAAATCAGATACAGAATCATGGTCAAATAAATCAACAAATACAATCGCAAAGACAAATTCCTCAACAGATGAATCAATCGGCTCCAATTCCCCAGCAACAGAATCAAACGCAGGTTGGTCAACAACAACAGCAAAATCAATCACAGATAACGCAACAAATCCAACAGTTACAAAGACAGCAAAGAGAATTTGAGAAACAACATAGGCAGCTCCAACAAATTGAAAAACAACAAGTACAGATTAATACACCGCAAGAATTTTCTATTAAGCAAGAACCTCAAGGGCAAGTTGTACATCAAAATAATAATATTATTCTAAAGACGGAACCTGACGCTAAACAAAATCAGCCAATCATTCAAAAAGTGCAATCTGAGACACAAAAGGATGAAAATAATGCACAAAATGTACAAACATTCACAACTGTACATTCTGCACCTGAAGTATTTTTAAATTTAGGATTTAAAGACCCCCCACTGGTTACACAAACCGTTCGGGAAGATTCAAAAGATTATAAAGCAGATGATGCAATATCTCGTAATTCAATTGGACAAATTTCAGAGTTTTTAAGAATCAAATCAGGGCCTGAACCTACATCATTAATCACTGTGAATCCCCAAGCTATTACTCAGACTAATACTAGGGACACTTCTTGCAAAGATTGTGGCAAAACTTTCTCTTCCATGAATCAGCTAAACAGTCATAGTTGCTCTGGTTCATCATTCAATTCAAGGTCTAGTTTACTTCAAACCCTTTTAACCGATGCCACTGATAGTGGAATCAAAGAGGAACCTTTACAAACTAATAATAATTCTTTTAGTTGTGATGTGTGTGGCAAGCCGTTCAAACGGAGAGAGCATCTTTATCAGCATCGAAAATTGCATACTGGTGAACGCCCATTTGTGTGTACCACATGTGCAAAGGCATTTAGTCGTAAAGAACATTTAGTTAGACACTCTGTATCTCATACAGGTGAAAAAATGCACGAGTGTGAAATGTGTGGTAAAAGCTTCTCTCGGAAGGACAATCTGCATAAACATCGTAAAACACATGGTGTATCAGGTCCATACATTTGTGAAACTTGTGGAAAATCGTTTGTAGTTAAGCATTATTATTTAATGCACTTAACAACTCATGCATCGTCTACTGGAGATGGTGCAAATTGTCAGGATCCTTTACCCTATAAGTGTGACCTTTGTCATAAGGCATTTTCTGTAAAACAATATCTCACCACTCATAAACTTAGGCATAGATCAAAAAACAGTAACAATTCTGGTCAAAATTCTGTAAATGGCCAACAACAACAGCAGCAGCAGCAGCAACAGCAGCAGCAACAGCAGCAACAGCAGCAGCAGCAGCAACAACAACAACAACAACAACAACAACAACAACAAGCTAATACTACAAATAATGTAAACATAGTAGGTAATAATGTTACTAATACTGGAACTTTAAATGATAACAATGGACATTCTGATAATGGATCAACAGTTGAAATTCAAAGTGTTATAGAAAAAACTGAAGAACCAAATGGTTCCTTTGATAACCCTTACCATAATAATATACAAGAGTTTCAATGAGATAAGGGGAAGCGTGTCTATTATGTTCTCTTGCCAAATGGTAACAACCACAAGATCGTTGTTGTCTAAGCAAGGGAAATTTTACGACACGCCTAAATATTTTCTTAATCGAATAAGCTTTTACTTGAACATGAATTTTTTGTACTTTAATAATCTATCACATGAATTCGAATACTGTTATTTTCACAATTCATAATTTATTTAATTTCAAAGTAATAACTTTGGTATCTTTAAAGCTTAAAGTGAAACATATTGTACATATATTTTCCCAGTAAAGTATTACACTTACAAAACGTATGCTATGTTTTATATAAATGCACACTATTATTTAATATTTAAAATAAGTGTGTGCTGCAAAAATTTTAATGTACGTAGATAGTCATAAGGTTGTTTCAATACCTGAGTACATTTACGTTTCATGCTCTATTAGCTTCAAACATAAAAATATTGAACTAATATATAATTAATTTTTGTTTATTAATAAAGTTATAATAATATATTGAGAACAATTACAATTTTTTGTAAATTTTAATTATGTTTAATCACATTAGAAAAATATTTGTTATATATTTTTATCAATATCGCTAAAGAAAATTAATAATCGAATTTATTTATAATAATCAATAATTGTATTTGATGTATAAAATATTATATTTTATTTTGCTTTGTGCAATATCTTTATATCTATACGTAGTAGACAGTTAACTAATTATTAAATTTAATGAATGATTTTATTTTCGACCGGTGATTGTAACAATCTATGACCACTTTACAAAGTATTTTAGAATATATGATTTGTATGTAAACGTAGAATATAAAACAACATCTAAGACCAAAGAAATTTATATTATGTATAAATTGGATGAATAATACTGAATAGAGTTATAAACGTAAAGTATCAATCAGGCAAGGCCTAGCCTGATTAACTCCACTATATTTAAGACTTCGATTAAGTGCGCATACTATATACACACACATATATATATATTATATATACATATTTATATGTGTGTGTGCGTGTGTGTGTATATTGCATAGTACTTTATAATCTGTACAATGAGTCATTTTCTGACAAGTGAGAGTGTGCCATACAATGAAGTTTGGAAATACACTTACTGATAAAAATTAAAAAACAAATTATTTATTTAAGTTTATTTAGTATGCATTAACAGAACTAAAATTATTTTAAATATTTAAGATACGTTTCTTATGTTTTGTCAAAAACATTTCACTTTACTTTGTGTTCTCACCTAAATTATATTGTTTATACAGGTGGATTCCAAGAAATACTAGTATTCTGTTAATATATTATGTGTTATTTATTCAGATCATTTTTATTTCCAACACATGAACCTTAAAAGTAAAACAATAAGTAATTGTTTTTCTATAATTATATTGTTTTCTAATTTTTGTCAGTAAATGTAAGTGTATGTGGAACTATAATTGTCAAAAATTCCTTACATTTAAAGTATATATTGACCAAAATTGAAAAAAATTAAGAAAATTTGTATTTATTGGGTGGTAATCAATTCAATTGCATTAATATGTAATTAGACCATATTTCTAATTACTTTATACTTTCTTTCTACCGAACTTTTTCATATAACAAGATTAAGAGAACAGGGGGCAACTATATCTTCAAAAAAATAGTTCCCAGTGTACCATATAAAATTATTATCTATACACATATTAATTTTTATATTTCAGCACAATATGAATAGTTCAAAAGATTTATAGTGTACTACAAAATGTCTGTTGTTTATTGAATTATTTAATTTATATACACCATCTTCAACATATTCCATATTACATAGTTGAAATAAATACCAAGTATAGATAGCACAATTTTATGTTGTACACTACAGTGCACAATGGTACATATTGTACACTGAAATAAATACAACACTTTTGTTCAACTGTAATGCAAACACTTGTTATTGAACACATAGTAACAAAATTTTGTTTCTGCAGAGTAAACATTTTAAGGTGTAAGAAAACTTTCCATAGTACAAAAAATTTATTTTAATTACTGGTCAGACTTTATTTTATCATAAAGTCTTGTAATATATATATATAATATATATATATATATTGAAACAGAAGTAATGAATTTAAGACTGTGTTTCTATATCACCTAGTGTTAGGTGTACGTTGGAAGTACATAGATTTATAGTAATAAAACTGTACATAACATGGTCCAGTGAGTAAGACGAAAAACTGTTAGTGCGCTGTTCCTAAGGAAATGGTATTTTCTGCAAAGCATGAGAATGCCAATACTGATATTGAAGTCTTGTAAAGTAAATATTAAATCCAAAGATACAGTGCTTTTATTACTTGTGTACTTCGTGCCTAATCATGAAATCCATGAAAGATAATTATTTTAAAGATTTATATTTAAAGCTGTGCAAATGTCATACTTTTTAGTAGCCCCCTGCTATGTACAACTTGTAGCTAAATTATATTAAACCAATGCTCAGATCTAAGTAATTTCAAAATTTTTATTTTTCATTTTATCCCTTTAATTGTATATATCACTAAATCAATGCTATATTTAAATATAATATAATAAATTAAAGAATAATAATATATTTTTTATTTAGATTTTCCCATATGTATACTTCATTGATATGTATTGTAAAATTTTATTTAACTTAACAATATATTAAATATATACTAAAAAATATACATCTACAAAAATTCAGTATCCCTTTTAAAAACTATCAGTTATTTTAATGATCTGC